TCCTCGGATCCGAGGCATCTCATCACAACGCGCAATGTATCTCGCCCGAGTAGCATCCGCCACGAGCGAGAGCCGAGGGAACTCAATAGGGAATCCATAAACACAGAGGTGGGTACACATGTCATAAGATAGTGCATTGTTAGGGCCAGCAGAGAGGAGACGGACGCAGGATTGATAAGCTTTGTCGAGATCACGAGTAGGACGGTGCAGCTGCAAGAGGAAGGACAATAGAGAGACGCAAAAAGCTTTGAATAAAACAATGGATTGGGCCAAACCAAGCCCCAGATCACGAATCTCACGCGTCCGCTTTTTGAGCTTAATAATGGATGCTGAGAACGCCACTTCCTCCGCCCCAAGACCAATCCAGACCCCAAGGTACTTCAGACACTTAGTAATTTCAACACGCTGATAGAGGGGTCCCAGGTCGACCAGGAAATCACGAAGAGGGTCCCTGAGACGCTCGTAGGCCAGCAGAATCTGGCACTTCGGGAAATTGAGAGCCAGACCTATCGCGCCGTGCAGCAACTGCAAATACTTGAACAACGGCTCGATGCCATCGAAGATACAGCGGAGGCCGAAACAAAAATCGTCGGCATACGCGAGAGTCAAAGTCAGCTGAGATGGAAGCTTAGCCCTCACCCATGCTAGTACAGGTTCAACGGCCAGGATAAATAGAAGCATCGAGCTCGGGTCGCCTTGCCTAACTCCTCTCCCAATCGAGAAAGAACCAAACATCCTCCCATAGATATAAATAATCGCAGAATTATCTTGATAAAGAGCCTGGTAGAACAATATGACAGCAGACGGGACACCCATGGAGGCCAGTACGCGGAGGACCCAGGAGACCTTTATCGAGGGGAAGGCGGATTCGAAGTCCGTCAGGACGAGCCCACTCGTATATCTATCACGAAGGTGGCACTCAAGAAGGAAACTCTCAGCCTCCATCACATTCGCGAGCATGTCGCGGCCACGGAAACATTTCTGTGGAGGCTGGAGAAGACAGTGCCGCGCAACCTTGCGCGTGAGAATCATAGCCATCGAGGCCGAGAAAATCTTGGCATCCGTATTTGTCATGCTTAGTGGACGAGTATTAGCTGGTTCACGATAAACTCCCTCCCCCACCTCCGCCTCCGTAATCTTTTTGGGTAAGAAAACCATGAGACTCCGTTTCATATCATCGGGAAGACCAGCCCGAGGGTTACGGATGAAAGCTTGGTAGCATTCGTAGAGAAGTTCACCAGCAGCGCGGGCCCTCCAGGCCGAGTAAGGGATCCCATCCTCCCCAGGCATGCTGTCTTTCCTCCCCCGTATCATCATTTGCCACTCAAACTCACTCATCATCCACCCTTGCCCGATTAAGTCCTCTTCCTCAATCTCCTCAGGGACCACAGGCAACTTCGGCACAAAGTTAAGCAGCTCGGGCCAGAGGGACTCGTCGTCCTCAGTAGCAGCAAAGATAGTACTCCAGTGATCCTGTAGGGCCTGGGCAGCCTCTTCTTCTGTCTTGCTAATGTCCCCTGAGGCCGACAAGGTCCCTTGGAGCCACGTACGCCTTTTCATCTTCCGCCAGAGTTCCTTCCGAGCCGCCAACTTCCGCCGAGCATTCTCATCGCCCGCAGAGGGCACGGGTCCGACGTCCTCAACCAAGGCCTGATTGAGAGATTCCTCCTCGGCAGACAGAAGAGCATTATGGAGACTTTGAACGTGTTGGCAGAGGGCCTCGCATCTGGCATCCCGAAGGCCGGCAGGAAAGTGAGCAGCGAGCGCCGGGTACGCGGCGACCGCCGCCGCAAGCTTGAAAGAGTCGCCCGCACGCCATGCTCGAAGGGCTTGCAGGGCACGATAGTGTTTAGCTTCGGTAGTGTCAGCAGGTTTCAAGTTGACCAGACGTTTAACCTCTTCAGCAACTTCAAACACCAAAGATTTCGTTTCAGCAAGACGAGCCCACGGGTCACCACAGGGAAGGGCATCAATAGCGCCGTTCAAAAGCTCAGCGAATAACGGGTGCCGAACAACCCAAGGAGCCAGACGTTTGGGGGCATCCTGAGGTCTGAAGGTGCTGATCGCGACAACTATCGGGATGTGGTCCGAGACCATATCCACCTTCAGTGTCCCCCGCGCCTCGCAAACAATCGTGAGGTCCGTGATCAACGCCGAGGGAAGCGAACTGTACATACGGTCTAGCCGAGAAGAGTGGGTCGTGATGCCGTCCCTGACCTCCCTCCTCGTGTCCTCACATTGGTAAAACTCAATCCAAGAACTACAAAGCCGATGAAATAGAGAAGTATGATTATCATCTCCAGGATACCACCCACTACCATCCGCCCGAAGTCTCCCATCTGACGAGAGCGCAAAGTTCCAGTCACCTACCAAGATAGTGAAACAATCGGCGGGGCTGGGAAGTTCACGAAGGATGGAACGTAACGCGTTAGCATATACACACGTGAGCTCATTCGTGTTCGGCATGTGCGCATTGATGATACAGAAGTTCCCGAGAGGCCCAGAGAGATAAGACTTGAGGATACGACCATCGATGACACTGGAG